AAGTGATCTGTACAAGTTGGGGAAATTGTTTGAATTTGTTGTGTAAATAATATTCATAGATTCATTCTGTATTCACAACGGAACTTGGGTGGAAGGGATAGGCGGTACCGATACAGCCAGGAAAGGTCAACTCCGCCGACTGGCACAGCTTCGGGGAGGAAGTCCATCATCATCATCATCACCATTATCATCATCATCATCATCATAATCATCATCATCATCATCACATCGACGTACCATTTGCTGCTATTCTTGTTTTTCATTTTTTTATTTGGATATTATCTTTTACTTGAGTTATATTTTGATAAAATAATAATTTAATTTATTTTTTAATTTTTTTTTTTTAGCCCATTAGGAAAGAATATTTTTCTCTATTTGATTTCTTTGTGAAAAAATAATATCATCCTTTCCAGTTTCTTTTTTTTTTTTGCTGTTTTAAATTTATTCTCTAGAAAAAAAAAATTCTTGAACTTATGACCTCACAAATATTTATACACTGATATCTGCATTCCTTTTGTTGATGTTAAATTCTTTTAGCAGCAAATATAGTAGAATATAGAGAAGTAATGAAATATTAAAGAATGGATTGATTAGCATTAACTTTGATTGCATATTAATTATCTGTCATGTATCATTTCTTCCTGGCTAATAACAATCAAATGTAATACACCTTATCGATGAAGTTATCCTTTCAATAATTCATCATCTATATGACAGTATAAAGCAATACGAGAGATTATTCAATCAAACATCAAAATTTTATCTTATCATTTGCATCTGTTATACAGCATTTATTTACAAACTGATAATAAAAATTGAAAAATTGGAATGTTGTTTATATGCAAAGAAAGAATAACGAAGAGAAAAAAAGAGGAAAAGAGTAAAAAATCAAATTAAAGCTTTATCATATTGCTGCCTTATCACTAAATATTCTTTCATTTTTCTTCTTCTTTAATCTTAGTATATATTTCTTCTTACCAATACTTTCTTTATCTTTTTATTAATTATATATTTTTAAATTTTTAAATGCTTAAAGTTATACGTATACAATGATAACTTTATAAATTTTAATATCATAATTTAATATCCTTAAATTAAATATCTTGCGGTGCTAAAATTCTTTTGAATAATTTCTTTAATCAGTTTACATTTAATAGCTAATTTTGTTGTTATATGATAAATGAAAATATTTTTAGTTAACTTTTAATTTGATTCTAATTAATATATCGATTAATGAATGTATCGGTAATTCTGAATTAATAAATTACAAATAAAATCATTCACTAAATATAAACTTCCACATTACCAACACTCTTATGAGATATGATTATATGATTATTATTATTAATAGTATATTATTATCACTATTATCATCATTGTCATAAACTATCACCTTTTGCTGTTCATAAAAAGATTGAGTTATTGGTACGTGTCACAAGGTTGTTTCAAATTGATAAACCAGTTTTACCCATCCTTTTTTGCTCTCTCTCTCTCTCTCTCTCGGTCTCTCTTTTTTCTCCCTTAGTTAGATTTAAATTAGAACTAAAGAATGAAATAATGAAATGTGCCGTGGGAAAGAAAGGAAAATAGAGATATAGCAACGAATATTTTTTTTTCAATTTATAAAAATCTTTTAATTTGAAAAAAAACAGGAGAAAAAAACTACTCCTTTTGCTAATTTTAATGAAAAAGTGATACTTTTGCTTGTTTTTTTTTCCCTCTCTCTCTCTACCTCTCTATCCCTCTTTCTGCTTTAATTTTTTAAAATAATTTAACATGGGAGGTTTTGAAGAAGGAAAGACGAGAAAAAGATTGCAGCTTAAACAAGATTTTCTTGTTTTTTTTTTTCTGTTAAAATGATCCAAAAATGTCTTTTCTCTCACTGGTTTATCTTTCCTGTGATAACGCCTTATCTAAGCTTGTTTTCACAAAACAAGTTTTTTTTAATGGTCAAAGGGAAAAAAAAATTAGAAGAGGAAAGAGAAATAGAAAGTGGGGAAGTAATACAATTTTAATAATTGTTAAGCTTAATTTGATATTTAATTAATTAATTAATGCTGGTTTTTCTAATTCTATCATTTTTACGATAAAATTTTTACAATTTTACTATCAAATTCCTATTTTATTTCACATACATTTATTTTATTTA